TGAAAAGGGCTTACAAAAAGAATGAAAAGACGTACAATTTACGGTCTCGGAGCAAACAGTATGAAGTAGGTCAGGAAGTCGTAAGGCGTAATTTTGTTCAAAGTTCGAAGATAAATAATTTTAATTCCAAACTAGCACCTGTGGGGAAGATTGCAAAGGTTATACGTAAAGTTGGGAATGTATCTTACGAACTGCAAGATTTAGATACCGGTAATAAGGGGATATATCATGCAAAAGATATATGGACATAATATTTATATAGTGTTTTCTTTGTTTTTTTTTTTAGAAGAAGGGATGTAAATTTGTGACTACTTTGTATGAGATATACTTGGTAGTACAATTAAAAGGGGGAAAATGTAGAAGGCTTTGAATCTGTATGTCAAGGAAATGTTTGAGGAAAATTGAAAAATTTTCTTCTGGGATTCGATTTTATGGTTTTCGGGCTGGAAAGAAGTAAATTTCGAGAAAAAACTATTTTTTTCTGAAAATAAGAAAAAACGAGAAGCCAAATTGCAAATTGCTATTAAATTTTAATTTGGATATCGGAAAATGCGGATTTAAAAGGATTTTAATTTTGCATATATTCTCAACTGCTATAAAAATCGAGAGCAGCCCTTAATCCCAGATTATTATTGAATCATTAATTGAACCATCAATTTTTAAGATATTGGAATATTACGGAATTCTTTCCTTGCCAAATTTTTTAATAAGAGACCAATTACCATTCGCTGATGGAAATGGACATGAATTTTAATAAATAACGGCGCTTTGGTTGGAAATCAAGCATAAAAAAATAACGCAATATCATGGATCATACGAAATGGAACAAATCTTAAATCCATCTTATTCTACCCTATTCATATTCATAATAATCGCAATAATCACAATTTAATTAATTATATTAGGATAATTTTTATTTAAACAGCAGATCAACAAGCGCTTGTCGATGCAGCTTCAAATTTGAAATATTATGTAAGAAGTTTATACATTTTTTTTACATTTATAAATCTTTCAAAAATATTTTATCGAACGCAATTCATCGCGATTTAAAATAAGATTTTTAATTTATATGTTTTTTTTTTTAAAAAAAGAGAGGAAAAATCTTGGAATTGCATAATTTATGTTTACCTTATTCTAGTTTTATCTTACCTATAATATCATCTTTAATATCGTTTTTATTTAACTTAAATCCATGTTATGGAAATTTATTGGAAGAATAATGGAGATTTAATCTAAGTAAATTTTAAAATAAATTCCACGAAATTGATGATTGGGTATAGTTAGAATGTTTACTGGGCTGACAAAGTTTAAGTCGTATTGGTAGGGAGGGAAAACCGACGAATCTCAAACAACTAAGATTCAAAGATCATCCTTCAACTAACTGTGACAATCGCGAATATATATAGATGTTAAAATTAAGCTACCAATTAAACTTAAATATTCATGTAACTGGTTGAGGCTTATTTCTTCTGACAAGAACACCCCCCAAGCCCTGAGCACGGTCGGAATCAATGGTAGCAACAATCAGAAGAAATAGAGCCTGGTGAGGATCGTTACAGTAAGGGTACCCCCCAATTTTCGGTATTTTGGGGGTTTGAGCGCGTTTTTCAACCAGACTCGCTGGAATTTTATACATTGGGTTCTTATTGGGTACCAAATATCTCCACTAAAAATTATAAATATCGGTCCGATATTTCTGATACCCCCATATAACGGTACCTCCTAATTTTCTGTATTATTGAGGTTTTGATTGATTTTTTCGCCGAATTGATTGTAATTTGATATTCTGAATTCACAATAGGTACCAAATCTCTCCACAAAAAATTATGAATATAGGTATTATGTATAGGTATTTTTTCGGATAACCCCCATATAAGGGTACCCCCAATTTTCGGTATTTTGGAGTTCTTGAGTGCGTTTTTCAACCGAATTTGCTGCAATTTGGTATTTTGTATTCGTATATGGTAACAAATCTCCCCACCAAAAATGATTAATATTCGCTCCCTTTTTGGGGCAGTCCCCATATCACCCGCTTTGTGTCTTTGTGCATATGTTTGTAAGAGGTAAAAGGAAACGAGACAGACCCATATTTCCTTTTGAGGATATGCATAGAATCATTTCTGAGTCGATTTATACATGTCTGTCCGTCCGTCTGTCCATTTGTTGGTGTTAAACTTTAAACAAAGTACAGGTCGCATTTATAATCCGATTTGGATGAAATTTGGTACAGCTCATTTGTCTAGACCAAGGACGAACCCCATTGAAATTGGGAAAAATCGGTTCAGATTTAGATATAGCTCCCATATATATTTTCGTCCGATTTAAGGTAAATTTTGCACCAAAGTCCCTATATATACTTGGCACAACGTACAAAATTGAGCATAGAATAACGTAGTTGCGTTTTCGTGAAGTACAGACATAGCCCAACGGATAACCTATTGCTATTTATTCGATTTACATACTTTTGTCCCATTGTAACAAACGAATGACATGTTTATGGATAGGTCTATGTCGTTTCATATTTAGATAAATATCACATATTTGATTTCATAAAATTTCATTATAATAGTCCTGTTTAATATACGCATAGTGGTGAAGGGTATCATATAGTCGGCCCCGTATGACTTTACTACTTTCCTTACTGGTTTATATTGAAATAGTTATCCGATTTGTTCCGTGCATTTAGGCCTAGGCCTAGCCCCTGTGTTGGACGTACCAGAAGGAGTGGATCGATATTCCCCATATTTGAACTTGAACTAAGTTTGGAAGAAATCAAAATTTACTAAAACGGATTTGGTCCAACGAAACATGGGGTCTAGAATCAATATTTCGATGAGTCACATTTTCACTGTATCAAAGCTGAAATTTGTATTTGGTGTACATTATGATTTACATAATCGGTTTATAAAAATGTGCGTATAGGTCCACTTTTTGTTAGGGAACATAACAAAAAGTGGACATTTTCGTGTCATACATACATACATTTTCATACATTTTCGTGTGGACATACCCTGGTGGAGGGTATCCAAAATTCAGCCCGGCAAAACTTAACGCTTTTTCACTTGTTTATATTGAAATAGTTATCCGATTTTTTCCGCGCATTTAGGCCTAGGCCTAGCCGCTGTGTTGGACGTACCAGAAGAAATGGACGGATATTCCCCATCTTCGTTCAATCAAAATTTTCTGAAACGAACTTGGTCCAAAGAAACATGGGTTCTAGAACCAATATTTCGATGAGGCACATTTTCGCTGTATCAAAGTTTATACACCCCTATTAGCCATACGCTGAAATTTGTATTTGGTGTACATTATGATTTACATAATCAGTTTATAAAAATGTGGGTATAGGTCCACGTTTTGTTATGTGCCCTATATTTTCATTTCAAGTATATCTATGGTGGAGGGTATCTGTATGGTCTGGTACCATACTTATGAAAGCCACTGTATGTTGTTTTGCAAAATAGGCTAGCGGTACTTAATATTTACAATAAATATGTACACATATACATACATTCGCAACCGCTAGCCAAAATCCGTTGCTGCCTTCCAATAACATTGGAAAACATAAGTAGGCTTTAAAAAGCATAGCGGGCAGCAAAGGAGTTAGTTCTCGTTCGGCATTACATGCAACAGCATTCCCCCCGTGATCGTGACACAAATACAAAACAAAGTGATACAAATACAAAACAAAGTTTACAAACATACAAATTTTGAATTTCATCTAAAACAAAAATAACACTGAAACGAATACACTATATTTTGTAATGAACATACATACATACAAGAATTACAATCATACAGAAAACAACACTTTTATTAAAACATTTTGAATTACAAAACACAAAATACAAAAATTGTGAATTTAAATTAAACATAAACAACATTAAACAAAACAATTGTACAAACGCATAAATTACAAAAATTGGAAAGTTACACAAAAGAATTAAACATAAATATAAAAAATTGTTAAATACGGAAAATTGTATATATACACAAGTTACAAAATCAAATTTAAAGTACACACAACACATATACATATACTGAACACAAAGAGAATTACACATAAAAAGAATTACACATACATGAAATGAAAAAAATATAAAATTGTGCACCAAATGAATAAACATAATTTTGCACATCCATAAAACAAAAAACAAAATACAGAAATTTGTACATATACGCCAATTACAACCACAAAATTACAACATAAGTGAATTACAATAAAACTACAAAAACACAAAAAAAACAAATCTTATACATAACGAAAGGAAAAACTAGAAAACGGTTTGTACACTAAACATTGGTCCATGCGAGCCAGATAGTGTTTTTTAAATAAATAAAAAAATTCTGAGAAAAAAATAAAAATCAAAATAATAGAATTAATCAAAAGTGGAACTGGTGCTCACAGTTCATTTCAGTGAACCAGTATGAAGTGAACCAGCGACAATAAAAGAATCAGTGATAGTGAATAAAAATTGAACGTCACAAAACAAAAAAAAAAAAACAGTGATAGAACAAAAAAAAACAGTGACATAACAGCAAGCAGTGGTAAAAAAATAAATAAATTACAAATAACAAAATACAAATACCAAAAAGTGAACATAAATAACAAAACTGAAATTACAAAAAATATATAAATTGAAGTGGACAACAACAGTGAGTGGCATTCCAGTTCAAAAACAACAACAAAGGCGCCAAACAAACGAAGAAGAAGAACGCAGAAGTTGGAGCGGCAAAGATCCAAAAACAACACACAGGGTAACTACACACACACATTTCCAGTACTAAAGAGAGAGGATCAAAGTGAGTACCCATGAAATTTGTTGGGGCGAATTCAGGCATGCAGGGTTCGGAATCATTTGGCACCGACCTGTAATGCCCCTGATAAAGCACCTGTGAATAATTTGACACTTTTGGACAAAATTACCCAAAATCACACATATTGAATCGAGGCCTGACGTTGACCCTCCCTGCAGCCAAAATAACTAGTATGTAGGTAGAAATATACTAGTTGCTTTTTGCTTCAAACTAGTAACATATCTGTCCTTTTTCCATATAACGAACTGTCGATTTTAACATGGGGTTGTCATATACGCCTAACTAGTTCATTTGTATACAATTAAATTACTAGATCCTATACTAGTTAAATACGTACTAGTTGTTATGTAGTACTGTAAACTACTGTATTTGGACTAGTTTTATGTGAACTAGTGCACACTCTAGTATTCTTCATGGTAGTTTTATACTACTCACATCTTTTCTAGTTGTATATCAATCCATCATTACCAGATTCGCACTAGTTGGTTGTGAATAATTAAATACTAGTTAATTTTATCGTTTTTTATTTTAGTTTTAAAAAAGTAATATAATTTCTTTTTAAAAAATTAAATTAAAAATCCATATCCACGTTTGATGTATGTAAAAAAAAAAAATAATTCACTCAAAAATTAATACCAAAATTTAATTCACATCAATATTTCTGTTGACTCCAGCTCGATCTTTTTATTTTCAGAATTCTTTCTGAATTGCTTCTTTTTGCATAACTCCATTGCCTGGCGTAGTAGCTGTTCCGCATTTTTTCCCCCTAGGGATGGTAGAGTTTCTATGGAGTCTGGAAAATTTTAATAAATTCTTTAATTATACAAATTTGACGTTAAAATATTCAACTTACCAATTAAAGCTTTGTAGAAATTTTTATATTTCCTTAAAGAGCGTTTTCCATGAGTACCGTCTACAATAAAATCCATTATGACTTTAGAATCTAGTATATTCTCTATATTTTTTCCGACACAGTTTCGCCACAGCTTGCTCATTGTAGAGACCTAAATGTGAATGATTAAATTACTATGTTATAAAAATTAAGAAAATATTTACTTTATTCCTAATTCATTTTCGATATATTACTATACAAATAATAAACACATTTTTGTACTTACGTAAATATCTCGGTTGTCACAAGTGATTTTTTCCTCCATGTTTTGCAACATGTTTTCAGACGATATTGGAAAGTCATTTGTAGCGGTTCTGATTGACGTTTCTTGTCGAACTAATTTTGTTGTGACTACCTGACATAATAGCCTCACTGTTTTGTTGGACAGTTTTAACTAAGTCGTTGATGGTTTCTGAAAGTCGGCAATTTTAAACCAAATTAGTACAGTAAAATTGAAAATATTATTTAATTAAAAAACATAGTTCAAACAGCGATAAAAGTAGTGAATCGGCGATATCCCAATATTTGTATACTGTGTAGTAACACTCTTAATATTTTTTTCTTACCTTGTAAATTATCCATTTTTCTGGAAAGTTTTTTGCAATTTTTGCATGAGTTGTTTTCAGTACCTGAAATGAAAGAAAATACATACGAATTTATAATATATTTCATAACTGGTTTATTATGTATACCTACATGATTTGCTTTCACTTAGGGGCATCTTTATAATTTGAGAATCCATCTTTAAAAAAAAATGTTTCATAAAATACATAAAGATTATTAATATAATTAAAAATACAGACGAAAAGTGAGGACCGAATAAAACAAACGAAAAAATGTAATTTATGCTTCTAAAGACAACTATGCAAAATTGGTAGTAAGATAACATTATCATTGTGAGGAATACACATAAATTTGAAATTTATTTCTAGAATTGAGAATTTCTCTACATCACCTAAAGAAGATACATCGGCGCAGCAAATACCAATATTCATGGAATCCATTGGCTCCTTAAAATAACTTATTATATTTGTTAATCGTTTACCTATGACTAACTTTTCTTCGCCTTCTTCTTCAAAACTTTGAATTTCAATTGGAATATATGGTTTAATGCAACAGAAATTGTCTGGTTTCTTTGATGTATAAAGACATTTATTGAAGTAGTAACAAACCCCTTTATTCTTCATAGTTCTGAAACCTTGACTTGGGATATCGATAAAATAACTTTCGTATTGAACTCTTTTACTTTCCCATTGTTTGTAAATAATTTTCGAAATCATATGCAGACGAACCAGACATTAAACCTATGTCTCTAATGCTATCCACCAAATGTAGCAAAGTATGGATGTTGTAGGACACGCTACTATCTCCGAAAACAATTGGAAAATTATGTACAAACAAATCTAATAATTGTTTTGCCGGCTCCAGATTGTTATGGTAGCTCTTAGGACATAACAACAATCTACATGCGCAATGTAAGAGTAGAAAAACGTAGTATGTGTCGTCAGGAATTAGGTCTTTGAAAACAAAAATCCCAGTGTACAAAAGAAACTGGCGGAACTCCGTTGCCTTCCAGTGTGCTATGTCATCGAAACTTCTTGGTTTTCTTACAAATTCTTGTGGAACAAATGTTTTCAAAGACTCTAACTTTTTCGACATGCAGATCTTATCCCTTTTGCTAACTTTAACGATAGTTTTTCCCTCCAATATTCGTAATATAAATTTCCGCATAATTCCCAAATCTAGTAAATGCATAGTATCTATTGACACTTGGCTTATCATTTTAACGCCGATTATTTCTAATGGTGTTTTAGTATTTCTAAAATTAACGAGATGGTGTTCCAAATACTTTCTATTTTCAAAATCATCATCTGTTATTAAATCTCCTGATTTAGTACTCTAGGTTAAAAAATTCCCATTTTTTTTGCCTACTTGGGTGCATTTGCTGCAGCCATGGAACGACGCATGGCTTGGTGTACCACATATGTAAGCTTTCGCTGGTGCATCACAAACAATGGCTCGTATTTCTAAACTAAAAATATGTTCTGCAAATTGTATCCCATTTTTTGCTATGTCTTTCATTTCTTTCACAAAATCTTCTAAATACGTCAAAATACATTCCGGTTTTTTAAGACCAACATAAATCCCAACTGGAAGGACGTGCACATTTTGTGAATTAACAATTCTTATTAAAACAGGCCACAGCTGAGCTCGAGAGCTTTTAAATAAGGGCAAGCCATCAATATTTATATCAATTATTATTTTGTCTAATCCCAATAAAAATTTACCAACTTTCTGTAATTGACTTCTTATGCCTAAATGACAATACAGGCCGGGACGCACTTTCCTTATAATAGGTTTCTCAACAATTTTCGGCAATAATGTTTCTGCTTTTTTTGGTACATTTAAATTCTCTTCTCTTAAAATGCACAAAAGTTCTTCAAATGCTTTCCTGGAAATTTTGTTTCTTATGTACCACTTCCCTAACTTATCAGTAAATAACTCTTGCTGAACATTATGGTTTCTGGTGTTAACATCACATTGCTCATCTGACAAATCTGTGGTTAAAACAGCAGGCTTATCATTTATATTTATGTTTTGTGTTTCTAGATTAGAACTATTTCTTAATCTATTAATGTATTCTTCGCGTTGTTTTTTTATTAAACACAAACCTAGTTTTTGAACATTTACATAAAAACCTTGCAAATTTTGGGATTTTTTTGTCTAAACTTGGAATAAATCAGTGGAAAAAATTGGAAATCTCAGTGGAGAGATTGAAATTGAGAATACCTCGAAAAAACAAAACCCACTAACACATACAAAAAATATTGAACTTTGAAAGGAGAAATTTGGTCTCTTGTGGAAAATACATTACTACATGCAAACTTAAGAGTAACTTTTGTGGAAAAAGTTGAGCATATTTAGAACTTTTGTGGAATTATTGGAATTTTTTTTTTTGGAAATTTGACCCGCCATTTTTGGATTTTTTACATTAAACTTGTTTTAACACCATATTGGATTTGGGAAAAATTACTGACTCAGAAATACATAACATAATTGGATTTTTTTTTTGGAAAATTTGGAAATTTTTTGGAATCTTTATTACATAAATCAAATACAAAGCGTTTATATATAAATTATGGCGCAATTTTTGGCGTCATAATTTACCGACACATACATATTTTCTGGAACTCATACTACTTTATATCAATACATAATCGCCATATTAAAAATTTTTTGGCGGAATTGTTCGGCGTCGTACTTTACATTTACATATTTTCTGGTGATACATACTACTATATATTAATACATAATCGCCATATTACGATTTTTGGTGGAAAATTTGGCGTCATCGCAAATCATACAATTTTCTTGAAATCCATTTGTTGAACAAAATAATTGAAGGTTATAAAAACTTTTATTGGCAACCTCAATTAATTTATTATAACAATTGGATATTCATGACACTACTATTGAACATGTTTTTGAACAAAATTCTTTATGGTTTTTTTTGGAAAAATACTGATTTGCGTCAAGAATATTTGTTAATTACAACAAACATTTGAACAGAAATTTAACCTCTAAAACTTTTTGTCTTTGCTACAAACTAAAATCCTCCTGCAAGCGGAATTTTAAGCGATTTTAGACATCGTTGAAAACTTTTAAAAATTTTTTAGAGAATGTTTTTTTGCAACCCTAAACATTTTGGATGTGGAACGCCCTTTGCAAGTTTTGGATAAATTCTTCGAAAAATTAACTATTTTGAAAAAAACTTATAATATTTTTTGCAACCCTACATACAACTTGGATTACAAAACGCCATTAAACAACTTTATGGATTTGTAACCTTTTTTGGAAAAAAATTAAAAACTTTATTTCGTATCGCAACCCATCGAACAATTTGGATTGGAATTACCCACTTAATTTTTTTTTGAGAATTTGTTCGATATTTTTGAAATTCTTGGATTACACTTGCAACATTTTTTACAACCCAACACACATTTCTTACTGGAAACTACTACTGAGTTTCTTTTGAGAATTTTATTAGAGATTTGAACTTGAATTTTGGATTTTGAACTCACATTGACATTTTTGGCATCCCAACATACATTTTTTGAATTTTGGAACAAATTTTTAAATTGCTAAATTTGCATAATTACCACTTCCCTAACTTATCAGTAAATAACTCTTGCTGAACATTATGGTTTCTGGTGTTAACATCACATTGCTCATCTGACAAATCTGTGGTTAAAACAGCAGGCTTATCATTTATATTTATGTTTTGTGTTTCTAGATTAGAACTATTTCTTAATCTATTAATGTATTCTTCGCGTTGTTTTTTTATTAAACACAAACCTAGTTTTTGAACATTTACATAAAAACCTTGCAAATTTTGGGATTTTTTTGTCTAAACTTGGAATAAATCAGTGGAAAAAATTGGAAATCTCAGTGGAGAGATTGAAATTGAGAATACCTCGAAAAAACAAAACCCACTAACACATACAAAAAATATTGAACTTTGAAAGGAGAAATTTGGTCTCTTGTGGAAAATACATTACTACATGCAAACTTAAGAGTAACTTTTGTGGAAAAAGTTGAGCATATTTAGAACTTTTGTGGAATTATTGGATTTTTTTTTTTTGGAAATTTGACCCGCCATTTTTGGATTTTTTACATTAAACTTGTTTTAACACCATATTGGATTTGGGAAAAATTACTGACTCAGAAATACATAACATAATTGGATTTTTTTTTTGGAAAATTTGGAAATTTTTTGGAATCTTTATTACATACATCAAATACAAAGCGTTTATATATAAATTATGGCGCAATTTTTGGCGTCATAATTTACCGACACATACATATTTTCTGGAACTCATACTATTTTATATCAATACATAATCGCCATATTAAAAATTTTTTGGCGGAATTGTTCGGCGTCGTACTTTACATTTACATATTTTCTGGTGATACATACTACTATATATTAATACATAATCGCCATATTACGATTTTTGGTGGAAAATTTGGCGTCATCGCAAAGCATACAATTTTCTTGAAATCCATTTGTTGAACAAAATAATTGAAGGTTATAAAAACTTTTATTGGCAACCTCAATTAATTTATTATAACAATTGGATATTCATGACACTACTATTGAACATGTTTTTGAACAAAATTCTTTATGGTTTTTTTTGGAAAAATACTGAATTGCGTCAAGAATATTTGTTAATTACAACAAACATTTGAACAGAAATTTAACCTCTAAAACTTTTTGTCTTTGCTACAAACTAAAATCCTCCTGCAAGCGGAATTTTAAGCGATTTTAGACATCGTTGAAAACTTTTAAA